TCCGCAAGGTTGCAAAATATGTTTGAAAAATATCTTTTTGGAAGGAACTGCTTTACACTGTCAAGAAAGAAATTGCCAAAACTCAACGCTTTATTATACTAATATTCATTTTTTTTAGAGTCTTATTAAAAAGTTTGCAATTTAAGGGAAACTTTGCAGAACTTTTTTAATTTTTGTAAAAAGTATGATCCAAAACCTGAAATCTACCACATTGTTTTGAAATCTACCACATTTTACCACACAGAATTTTTTTGAAGTCCGATCACTGATTGCATAACTGGCAAACACAACAACAAAATACATGGAAAACAATATTTCCTATTGCTGCACAATATGTAACGTCGAAATACATGCATACATCTTGCACAAACGCGACCCTGTGCTAGCTGTTTTGTTGTTGGAACGACTTTATATTTCTCTCATTTCGCTTACTTCATTTTCTTTCTGTATCTTGTTATTGTATTTGGCAGAGAATTTCGCTGCTTGTTGCTACCTAGGTGTCGTACTCTTGCAAATTTAGAACAGTATTTTTGCATTTCGTGCAATCCGTCCAACATGCAAGACTTCGAGAATACCCCTTATGTGCTTTGAAATCAAATACAGGATATTTCGTTTAGCTGTATATGCTTTAATGCACTTAAGCGCCCTACCTCAGGATTCGGTCCAAAAACGCATTACCTCAGCTGAAAATGTATTGAAAATGTGCTTTTTGAGTCGGCAGCTGAGATAGGGCGTTTTTGAACTTAATTATGAGATAAGGTGCTCTTCAACCAAATTTTGAAATAGGGCATTTTCGAACTGGCTGCCGAGAGAGGTCGATCTTCTACTCAGGTGTCGACATAAGAACACTTAAATTTCATCCGAGTTAAATGTATATAGGAGGAGCCATCTCAATATTCGCATGTATTAGGTAGGGCCCCCTACATTATGCGTTCAATAATGAGTCGATTACGCGAAATTTGGCCAACCGCGTACTTTACAAACGCAAGAAGATAATTTTTTGGAGATGATTGCCAGCAAATGAGTTACATATTCGGCCAGACTGTTCCTTCAATTATGGTAAGCGTGATGGTGTTGTCAAACAAATCGAGGGATCAGAGGGCTCAGCGTGGTATTCCCTTAGATTCTGATGGACTCACTGGGGCCATATTTACGAAAATGGTGTCAAAACTCATGTCGATAATATGAAGAGAAAACCGCATTGTATAAATGTATATTCGTGTTATACACGATAAATGAAGTTTTTAGGTTTATTTTCCGTTCCTTTCAGAAAGCGCTTTCATTGAGAGTCATTTCAGCGCAGTTTGTTTGACACCCGCAACAGCGACTTGAGCAACAACACTCAAGACTCCTCAAAGCCGAAAAATTCGCAAAAGGCAACGACAGCAGCACTTGCTTGGACATTTTTTGTCAATCTTTATTTAAAATTGTACACACACGCCACAAGCATTCATACTCTTCATGAAGCAAATAAACTCAAGCAAACAAAAAATTTAAAAAAGGTAAGCGACCAAATTCGAGTTGGCATAATAATGAGAACTCCTTTGCTCCTTATACGCCTGACCGTAAATTTAATTGAAAATCAGCAAATGAACCAACGAAGGCGACTTCAGTACACATAAAATAACACCAAATCTGGACAAATCGAAATGATGCGACAATATTTTATTTTTTTTGTATATTTTATTTGCACAAACAGCTGAAAAGAAGTCAAGCACGTAGCGCAAAAATTAAGTCAAAGTCGTGTAAGCAATGAAAAAAAAGAGCGACTGTCTTGTCGGAGTCTCAAAGATTAAAGCTGTTGAGCTGTTGACTACATTTCACGCGCTCGAAGTACTACTCGTGGTAGGCTTTGTTGCTTTCAACTGCGTTTCTTGAGTGCCTTTCTTTATCGATAGTTTCTTTTTCATTTCTTTGGCTTTTTTCGCGCTTATGCTTGGCGTCATTTTTAATTCACTTGAGTTCGCTTCGTATTGTTGTGGCGCGCACTCGAAAATCACCCGCCAGCAGGAATAGCTCCTCAGCTTCAGCAACAATTGACCACGGCTGTNGCTTGCCACATAAAAGCAAACCGTTGAAAATTGTTGAAATCGGTCTTAAATTACGGCCGCTTTTCATATAACAATAAATTTCAGAAATGCTTGAAATTTCAATATGTCGAACTTTAAGGACGCTAATTTACTTAAAATGTATACACCCCGGCTTATCATGTAGCGGTAGCTTTCGGCAAGGTGGAAAACATATCTTTAATACTTGCGCCGGGTATTTAATGTTCGGCTCCGCCCGAACTTAGACCTTCTTACTTGTTTTTTTTTGTGATTTCCATGCATATGGTTGCAAGTACGGCAAGGAATTCGATCCGGATTTTTTAAGTATCCGAATAATCCGGATATTCGAATATCTGATTAACAATTCCTAATAACCGTATATCCCGAGAGCAAAATTAACGGTTATTAACCGGATAACAGAAGATAACTAAATTAACCGGATGCCCGGATTTTATGCGCATATACGAATATCCGAACGTATGTCCGTATATTCGAGTGTGCGGATAATCTCAGCCCTAGTGTGCGAAGTCTTAAACTGCGTAAATCGTAATCCTACTCTCTACTGATTTCCTCTTCCATAGATATTTTGCTAAAATTTATTATCCTTTGGCACTTAATGAAAAAATAAATAAAAAAAAAAACAACATGCAAATGAATTCCCACCTTGTCGCAAAATTCGATTACCCGATTCATCGAAAGTGCTCAAAATTAATGAAAGAAAATTAAATCTAACGAAAGAGTTATTCGGCCGCGCGGTTATAAGGGAGAGTGTAGTGACAATGGTTGCACGATTATCGAAGCGATTAGCGGAATTGCTGCCACCATTTTTTGGGTTCGAATATTAGAGCAACAAAAACGCATGCATGGGAATAGGTACGCTCCATCAGGTTTTTGTGTGACGCAGAAGGGACATAAAAAAGGGAAAAAATGAAATGAAATTTACAAGCATACAAAAACGTATCCAAAACAACAATAACAATGACAATAACAGAAACTGACAATATTATTTCCCATTGCGAGGGTCCCATTGGGCACAACAGTACATGTATGTATGCATACTTGTAAATTCATACATTTTACATACATATGTATGTAAGTATGTATGTAAGTAGTTTCATTTGTCTCAATCGATCATTAGGCACGTAAATATGTTTACTTACAAACACAAGACACAAAGAAAAGGATAGCAGCAACGAAACACAAAGTGTCCTTTACTTTACACCAACAAAAAATTTTTAGATAAAAATCTTGTTTGCCCTTTTCGAGTGTCACAGCACAACGCAGGGTAGAAATGAGCGAAATAAAAATCCAGACAAACTAAGAAAAAAAAATAAATTTTGTGTATGCAAAGATGGGCGGTGAATTGGAAACTCACGTGACACATTTGTGCAAGATGTATACAAACAAATACATTTGGAACCACATTTATGTTCAAACAAATTTACATTTATGTACATGAAACTAGGTTCTTTTATGATACACAAGATATACGGCGGCGAGAATGTAAATAGGGAAATGACATTTTAGCGATTTGTGGCTCTTTTTTGCTTTGTTACTTTCTAATGAAAAAAAAACATAAAAATCAAAATTTCAAACTTTGTAGAATATTAATAGAAATTCAACGAAATTTAACAAATTTTGATAAGAATTTTAAACTTTTTAATCAGATTTTTTTTGAGTGTGCAATTATTAGTCTGTTCGACAAGCTGATTTTCAAGAACGCCCTATCTCAAACGAAAATACATTGAAAATAAGCTGAAATAGGGCGTTCTTGAAAAGTTTTCTGAATTAGGGCGTTTTCGAGCTGACTGCCAAGATAGGTTGATCCTCCACTCAGCCACCGATATGTAGGCCATCAAATTTTCGTATGATAAAGTGCAAGTTTGATTCTCTGATATGATATTTTTTTTATGAAGTTGTCATGGCATTCCTCGTGTATTAAAGATGGCAATGAAAAAAATATTTATACAAAAAGAGAGTACAATTCATGGAGTTTAAAAGAAAGAGTTGAAAGAAAGCCTTCTTGGTGCTCTTACCCGTCACAGCAAAATAGGAGTTTTTTTAACGTACTATGTATGCAAAAACTTAAGTCATACTTCCCATTGTTCAAATAAAGCCTGAACGAAATATTTATAGTTTGTTCAAAATTGAGAAACGAATCCGAAATCCACCCGTCACTCTTGAAAAACGTAAATTTTCTGTGTAAATTATATAATTAAGTTTTATGCTTTATCAGTTTTCGCATTCAAATTTTGATGTAATTTGGTCGATTTTGCTACTTTTTATACAAAGTTTGAAATTTTGACTTACATGATTTTTGTTAGACAACGAGCTACACTTTCATACAAAAATAACAAACATTAAATAATCGAAAGGTAGAGAGAGACAAAGGATGTTAAAATGTCTCTTCCTTATTTATATTTTCGCCACTGTACATACAAGTATATATGTGTGTATGTATGCAATGTATGTGCATGTCGCCATTTAGATCGCTTACAATTGTCAACCAAACGCAGATGGCGCTCCCAGTTGAGCGTTATAAAAACCAACTCTATTCCTTGGAAACTCGCGTGTCTAACAGTCGATTTGGGTTTTTATTGGCACAACAGAGGTCAAGTGGTGGCTTTGAGTTCACCCCCGCAAGGCGATATTTTTTCAATCGCATTTATGCATCTACTGTGTACCCGAACTTATTTGTTTTGCTACATTAATATTTGCTTATTTGCGCTTATTCATCGCATTTCAGTTTGTTTGCCGCTGGGACGGTGGCGCTAAATATTTGTTTAATACGTATCAGCACATTTTTATTTCTTCTAAATACTACAAATGTATATATATAACTTTGTATGTATGTTCTTTGATTTCATTACAATGATTTTCCCACTTTTTTGTTTTCGCAAATCCCTACTTCACTTTTTATTTAAATTTATTTTCCCCCATTTTCATACTCACCATCCTTTGGTGGACTCGAACAGGGCGGCGCATAACTGCCTAAGTGATAGCTGGAGTATGAGTTTTGATGCATAGGCGGGAAGGGATAACCTAAGGCGCTGCGTGGACTTGGAAACCCAGAGTCTTGTCCACCTTGTGGTCCAAAATGTTGATAGCCACCTCGTATGCCGCCGTAACTGAAAGGATAATTGCAAATTTGGAGTCTATCAAAATACATTATTTGGAAATTATAATTCTGATTTTATTTATTTTTCACTTTTATTTCAACATAGATTAATTAAAAGAAGAAAACTGATTAAAATAAAATATTTCACTCAAACAGGGTTGAGTTTATGAAATTCCTGCTCGTATTTTGTCTGTAGTGGTATTCTGCTACTATGTTAGCACGGCCGAGTAATCATAGTCAAATTATGTACAGTAGTCCAAAAAATTATAGCCGCACCAAATTTTGGCAAGTTTTAATATATCATTTTGTTGTTATTTAATTTTGGTTAGTTTTTTGTAGTTCATTCTTTAACAACATCCATGTAAATACAAGCTTGAAGGCAGTGTCACACGATTGGGTATTTGCCGAAATTTGGTGCAAATCGCATCGCAATTGTGTGATTACCCAAATATTTTTCTTTATCCCAATCACGAAAAATGATTTGTTGAAATTTTTCAATAGAAAATGGCTGTATTGTACCAATCTTTTGACTATAAAAAAACAATCCGTATTTTTTTATTTTGTAACAATAGCCCAATGAAAATGCACAAATCTGCACAAATGTACCAATCGAGTGACACTACCTTAAAAATTTATGCAATTTAAAAAAAAAAAAATCAACAAATTTTCGTAAAAAGTTTTTAATTAGATTCTGTGTATGCAGTTTCGAGGCCCATTGAATCTAGTAGAATAAAGTACAAGCTTCAAATGGCTAAAAATTACTTTTGCTTTTTAAATTTTTTTAAATTTGTGAAGAGTATAGAAACAAAATAATACGGATGAAATTTTACAAAACAAAAAAATGCAAAAGTAATGCAGCAGAATATACATTTAAGAACTAAAGACTTTTTATTAGTTACATATATGTAAATGTCGCAAACTGGAATAACTTTTCTATTTGACATCAACTTTTCTCCAGGCGAGATCCAAGATGACGTTTAAATTTTCGGGGCTGGGCTACGTTGGATATTTTCGTTTTTTTCAAAGAAATATTTTTTTGTAACAATTTTTTTTTGCACGTTACTCTTTTTCTTCTTTATTTTATTTATATTTGTTTCTTCTTCTTTAGTATTGTGAGCTAATGTTTTCAGCGCGAAGAATAATACAGTGAATTTTACATCGCATTGAAACGTCTGTACTGAACAGTCGTCCGCTTCGCATATCCACTCGAACAGTTGGGTCGTGTATTCGTCGGATTAAATCGACATTACTTGATATCGAACGAAAAGTATCGAGTAGGTAGTTGTATTAACTCGTATCGTTGCATCCCTAATTTTAAGTATCCTTCTATTTCGAATACAAGTCATACTTTATGAAGTAAATGCAATCTAAAATCAAGAAAGTGTATGGGGAAGCGTATGTATGTATTTCGATTGAAGTTTATTTGGTATATTTGATTTAATTTTTGTAAACAAATTATTTCATATAAAAGTCCGGTGACCCTACTGAGTCATTCAGTTGCATACATAACTTTGTTGGAATACCTTGAGAGCACAAAGTTCAAGTTTCAAATTCGTGTGTACATAATGAATACATAATAACGCAAAACTTTTTTATGACTTCATTAGGCTGGCTCAACTGGTCGAACTTTTACGATTTACAGCACTTCACGAAACTCTATTAGGCAGTGGAGGCTAAAATCGATAGCTATATATTTAGTAAAAGTGGCGAAGGCATGTTCTATGTGCAGATGTTCACTTATGCATTAAACATACATACAGGCATATACATACATATACATATAGATACTTTTATATGTTAAATAGCGCCATTTTCTCTTCAAGTTAGTCCATGTTCCTATGTTCTATGTATAAATAAATATTGTACTAACACCTCGTAAACATAAAACAAAAATTGTGGGCGTCCAGTAATGACAGGGTCCAGGGCTGTATGTATAAACGTACATAGCTCATATCGAAAACACTTGAGTTGACCACAATAAATTCTCAGCAACATTTGGTGACCGCAAGCAGAGAGCTAGCTGCCAACACACAGCTGAAGTGCAGGTGGCGATTGTTGTTGTTGCGGTTTTCGTTTGTACACCCTGCGGTCAATACAAAAATTTTAGAAAAAGTAAAAGAAATGAATAATGACAAATGGCGGCAAACTGATGAAAAACTATTCATACATACAAAACAAAAATATGAATTGAAAGAACTTTGAAGAGAAACGGCCAACATCATTAACTAAAGAACGAAAAACACTCAAAGCAAATTTGTAGGTAAAAAATTTATAGATTGACTGCTCACTTTATTGATTAGTCGATTTATAGTTTTATAATAGAATAGAGTTTTGAACTCACAGTCTGACTTATACCTTTTGTGCGGCTTCACGCATGTTTGCCAGAAACTTAAATCATAAAACGCGGAAACGGAAGCGGCTGGCTGCCATGCAATATCGGCGTTCATGCACACAAATGACCATGACTTCAATGTACATATATATGTATGTATGTATATGCAGCACTGTGAATACATTTAAATTGAATTTGCAAACATAAATTCATATGCTCTTTTAAATTATGTATGTATGTATGTAGATATGTGTATATTATGTACGTATTATGTATGTCTCATTTCATATCACAGTTACAACCAGTGTTGCCGTTTTGATACCAACGTATTTAAATGCACACATTTTTGCAATAAATTTGGAGGGCTACCTCTTTTTTCCTCAGTGTAAATTGCGATATATTTTTATAATACCCTTTGGGAATAAAAATGCAAATTTCGCAATAATTCGGAAACCGTAACCAAACTGAAAAAAACTATTGCTCTATTCACACACATTGCTCGGTACCGCAGGCTTATAGTAGTCAAAGAATAAAAATAAAATGCATAACCTAACGCAGACTGCAAGTTATAATTTTCTCATGGAATTTCCTCAAAATTTTCCTTGTTTTCTTAAAAAATATATGAATATACTTCTACATACCTGTGACTTTAACCTTTAAGTACCGACGTGCTATTTTAGTTAAAACAAATTTCAAAATGATATTATTTGCAACTTATATTTTTTTATTTATTTTTAAGAATTTTCATTTAAAGTGTAGTGCGATCTATAACAGAAAGCACAGAAATAAAAATTTGAAAATTTGCACGAAGTTCACAAAAATGAATCAGACTTCAAAAAATGTTCGTCAAAATTTCAAACTATTTATTCAGAAGTTTTAGAAAATTCTCGAGTGTAATAAAGTGCAAGTTTCAAGTCACTAAAGATTACCGTTGATTTTTTAGAAGTTTTTTTGTCGAGGGCGTTCAGCATTTTCTTCCATATAACGTACGAACCAAATCTATTTTTATTGTATTATAAAAAATAGATATTGCAGTCTCAAATTCATTGGGAGAAAAACACATTTATCTTAGTAATCTACATTTATAAATTATCAATAGATGAACAACAAAAATAAAAATTAGAAATAAAATCAACCGTTTTCTTGAAAATAATAAGAAAAAGTCGTACCAAAAAAAAAAGTTACATAAAAAATCAAAACAGCCACTCTACACGAACGCTTCCGAGCGACTGCCGGAGGGGTAGAGAGAAGCATGGGGGATACGTCTTCGCTCATCCTCAAAGTGTATGTAAGACCACACGTCGGTACTTAAAGGTTAAAGAAAAATGTCTCCAAGTTCTTTTCCATAGTCTATTCACAATTGCATAGTCTTCTTCCGGCAACACTGCGCATCAGGTCTCTTACTATTTAACCGAGTTGGCCCAAACAAAAATTCTTGATCGATTTAGTGCCATTTCCTCAAGTAAGGCTTAACATTTATCTGCCCTTTAAACACAAATTTTGTTTTGAAAACAAATATTAAAGCCTTAACGATACTAGAAAAACTTCGCTTCAACGAACTTCAAAAAATAATTTTATTGTACACATTTAGCTTTAAGATTTTACTAACTACTTTTTCATAAACATATACAAACATATTATTTTATGTGTTCGTTGCGAAAGAAATATAAAGAAATAAAAAAAAAATAAGACTATCCTTATTTTCGAATTTCTACAGTTCTGGTAGGTGGCGGAAATTCCAAGAAGTTGGTTTCCCTGTGTAAATGTATTTGAGCCACCCAAGCGGTTAGCTTTATATATTTCCGTCTATATACAGTGAAACCTCTCCTAACGGACACCTCTATTAGACGGNCTCTATTGAGCGGACGCGAACCTCTTATCAACGGACATTAAGATTTCTTTTCATAACAAATCAAACAAAAACCTCCGTTGAGCGGACGCGAACTCCTCATAGGCGGACTACTAAATGGAAAAAGGGGACTTCCCGCATAAAATGTGATTGTTATGCACACATTTAGTTTGGTTTGCGCAGTGGTTTAGGTTCGTTATTTGAATTATCAGAAACCCTTGGAGAATCCAATTCCAATTCTGATGAATTTATAACAATAGATAATAACAAATACATGGACTGAAGATTTAGATTTCTGGTTGGATTTTGTTACTGATAAAAACATGAAAACTATGGATGAAAAAGGTCAGTACCTGAAAAAAATTAAAAGTAAAACTTACGTCAATCGGCAATTTCCCAGTTTTTTATGTAATGAATCTATGGAGTTATGTAGTTTATAGACTGAAATGTAATATGTATTTATTTTTAGTTTGTTATTACTTAATATGTACTTACGCTCATAAATGAAATATGCACTTTTGAAAAAATACATACACATTTTTGTTTGAACGATGTAATATCAATATCTTTTATTAAAATAAGAAATAGTGACTATTCAATTAATTAAAACATTAAAAAGTTCTAAAATAAGCTTCCCTTCCATTGAGCGGACACCTCTCTTGGGCGGACAAAAAATGACCGACGGTGAGTGTCCGCCCAAGGGAGGTTTCACTGTATTAGTAAGATTGTAATTTTCGAGATTTCTTTTTAAAACATATATTTTCTTATGCAAAAACAAAATTAATGATTAGGATCAAAAAAAAGTATGGGTTTACTACTATATAGCGGC